ATTTTTTACGATTGGGGAATTGTTGGCTTTTCCCAGGCAAATAAGACATCCCTAGCTTTAATAATCACTTATTTGTTTACAGCTTACACCCAGAGAATTATTTTTGAACTGTGGGTGATTTTTTTAAATTATATTTAACTTGAGGCCCGGTGCATGAAATTTGTTCATGAGGGGGAAGGATGTCCCTCAGCCCAGCCAGCTCCCTCTCAAATCTGGGACTGTGGGCTCCCAACCACTTGCCTGCCTGCCTGCCTGATTGCCCTTAAACACTTCTGCCTGCCTGCCTGATCCCTCCTAACCACTTCCCTGCCAGCCTGATCAATACCTAACTACTCCCTTGCCAGCCTGATTGCCCCTAACTGAAACTCTGTACCCATTAAATATTAACTTCTCATTCTCCCTTCTTCCACCCCCTGGCCACATCATCCTACTTTCTGTTTCTATGAATTTAAGTACTGTAGGTATCTCACTTAAATAGAATTATAAATTATTTGTCGTTTTGTATTTAGTTTATTTCACTTAGTTTAATGTCCTCAAGGTTCATCCATGCTTGTGTCAGAATTGCCTTTCTGGCTATACAGTTTTTCACGGTATGTATACGTCATATTTTGTTTACTGATTCATTCATTGATGAATGTTTTGGCTGATCCCATTTTTTGGCTATTGTAAGGAATGCTGCTATGAGCATGGGTATACAAATATCTGTGCTTGTCTCTACTTTTCATTTGTTTTTCATATATATGCAGAAGTAGAATTTTTGGATCACATGGTAATTCTATGTTTAATTTTTTGAATAATCACCATATTGTTTCCCACAATGGCTGAGCATTTTATATTCCTACCCACAATGTAGAAAGGTTCCAGTTTTTTCACATATTTGCCAACACTTATTTTCTGTTTGTTTTTGTTTTTTGTTTTTAGTTTTTACAATAGCCACCCTGCATTTGTTTTTATTGGCATTTTTGTATGACATGAGTAATAGTAGACGTAACACCAAGTTGGATATTGATTGATATATAGCTATAATAACGTCTGATATAAAACAATCATTTGTACATTTATTTGATAAATAGCTTTTATTAAAATCTCTCAATTAGGCATTTGAAACCCGATATTCTCATTGTCTTTGCCACTACTCACAAAATCAGGAATAAAAATTTCTCACAGGCATATTATAATTTACAAAATCAGGAATAAAAATTTCTCACAGGCTTATTATAATCATCAAATGGATTAATTAATTTAAAATGGCTTTCAAACTTTTAAATAATAGATATATTAAAGGGATTAAAGTTATTCTTTAGAGATTATCATTGTGGTTATTGAGTACATCATAGTGATTTTGGTTTATATTTTGGATTTAAAATGTACTTAAATAAGCCTGTGGATATATGTGTCTTTACAGCCAAATAGGTGACAGAGTACCGAAAAACTGCTTCATGGCATCATATGAGTAACTTTCCAACTAAATCACTTCATTACTTCTTCCAAGTTCCCCTATGCCCTAACCAGTTATAAATGGCTATATTTAGCACATATAAATATGTTTTAATTTTAGAGATTTTGACACTATTCATAAGATAATTACAGGAAAGAAACTTTAAAATTCCAGTAGAATCTTCCATAAGAATATTTCTTTTGTAAAAGAAAGACAAAAAATTTAATTACCACTGACACCATCTTAAAATTACAGGATCAGTTCTTTCTGAGTTACTTTTCTCTGTAAGCTCTGCTACTTAGGTTAGGCCAAAGACAGTCCTTTAGGGATATTTGAGGACCCACTCAGTTCAGTAATTGAAATATTTTAAAATCACATTTAAAAATACATATGTATGATCATATGATTTTTATCCTTTATTTTGTTAATGTGGTGTACCATATTGATCAACTTACGTATTTATGTTTTATATATCCTTATACCCTAAATAAGCCAAACTTGATCGAGTTGTATTATCTTAATAAACAAATACACCAATGTTGCAGAGTTTAAAATCAATATACAAAAACATATTGTGTCCCTATATACTAACAATGACATTTTAGAAAAATGAATGAAAAAAATTTCATTTGCAGGAGCAACAAAAATAATAAAATATCTAGGAATAAACTTAATCAAGGATGTGAAGGGCCTATATTAAAAACAATACATTTCTGAAAGAAATTGAAGAAGATACAAAGAAATGGAAAGATAATCCAAGTTGATGGATTGGAAGAATCAACATTGTTAAAATGTCCATATTACCTAAAGCAATATACAGACACCAGTGCCCTGGTGCATACTGAAAGGAAATTAGTTAGAAGGTGGCCAGTGGGGCAGGACTGGGTGAAATGGCAGAACACGTCCTGGAGCCAACCTCCTGCAGTCAAGGCCAGCCACACCTAGGGTGGCACTACGGCTCAAAGGGCATCTGCAGAGTGAGTGGGGGTCCCTTGGCTGGCCTGTGAGAATAGGGCCAAAACTGACTCTCCAACATACCCTGGGGTCTCAGATTGTGAGAGGGTGGTTCTCGGGTTATGTACATCGGAATCAGGCTCCCTCCTCTTTGGTTCTGGAAGCGTCACCCAAGAACCACCACTGCCAAGTCACCACAGCTCAGCAACTCCTGAATTGAGTGTCTTCCCCCTGATGGTCAGTGTGTATCATAGCTACCGATTGGAGCGTTTGCCCTTGATGGTCATTACATGTCATAGTTACCAGTTGAATTGTCCGGCGGTGACTTAGCCTTTTATATAAATAGACTAGGGACCCAGTGCACAAAATTCATGCACAGTGGGAGGGTCCCCTCAGTCCAGCCTATACCCTCTCCAATCTGAACCCCTCAGCCTGCACCCTCTCACAATCCAGGCCCATGGGCTCCTAAATGTTCACCTGCCTGCCTGATTACCTCTAACTTCCCACCCCTGCCAGCCTAATCACCCATAGCTGCCCACCCCTCGGCCAGCCTGGTCACCCCTTAGTGCTCCCCCAGCTGGCCTGGTTGCTGCCAACTGCCCCCCCCCCCCCAGCCTGGTCGCTCCTTAGTGCCCCCCTGCTGGCCAGGTCACACCCAACTGTCCCTTCACCCCCGTGGGCCTGGTTGCCCCACACAGCCTGCTGCTCAGTTGTGTGGTTACCCCTCACTGCCACCCCTGCTGGCCTGGTCACTGCCAACTGCCCCCCTGCAGGCCTGGTTGCCCAAGTTAACCTACTCAATTGTTTGGTTGCCCCTCACTGCCCCCCCCCGCCCCTGCTGGCCTGGTTGCCCCAAGCAGCCTGTTTGGTCATCCGTTTGGTTGCAATGGCTGCTTAGGCTTTTATTATTATAGATAGTGCAAAAGAAATAATAAGGCAGCTGACTGAATGGGAGATGATAAGTATAAACAACAAATCCAAAAAAAAGGGTTAGTATCCAAAATGTATAAAGAACTCATAAAATTCAATATCAAACCAACAGTCCAATTAAAAATTGGACAGCCAAAACTAGTTTGGTTCAGTGGATAGAGCATCGGCCTGTGGATTGGAAAGTCCCAGGTTCAATTCCGGTCAAGGGCATGTACCTTGGTTGTGGACACATTCTCAGTAGGGGGTGTGCAGGAGGCAGTTGATCGATGTTTCTCTCTCATTGATGTTTCTAACTTTCTATCCCTCTCTTTTCCTCTCTGTAAAAAAATCAATAAAGTATATATTTTTTAAAATGGACAGAGGACTTAGACACCTCTCCCAAAAAGACATACAAACAGCCAACAGATACATGAATAGCTATTAGGAAAACACAAATCAAAACTACAATGAGATACACCAGTTGTATCCACTGTCCTTTTACCTCACACCTGTTAGAATGGCTGTTATCAACAACACCAATAACAACAATAAAAATGTTATTTTTCAGAATAAAAATGTACCTAAATTTACAGAGATAGAAAGTAGCTGAATATCATGTGGCCCCAGGCAGTGTGGATCCCAATTGGTCCTCTTATCCAACACAACAACTATTCAATCACAGCCATACTCTCTCAAATTCCAAGGTAAAGCCCAAGGGAATAAGTTATTTGATTAGAAATACCATTCAAATTAGCTAGGCATTGTAGTGATGGTTCAATAAGTGGAGGTACTTAGCTGTTTGTTTCTAAGTCAAAGTTGAAAATAACTCCAGATACTTAAGTGAAATATTTCATATGTTCTTCTACAGCACATATCTATCTCACAACAATATAATGAATCCTATTAAATGTGTTCAATATGCTGATCATGAGAATAAGTATGACATAAAACACTGTTCTTTCTGTGCAATAATCTAGCAAGGGCCATGATAATTTACATATGAATGAGCTTTAGAGACAGTCAGAACAATGGAGGGGAAAATGAATAGTTTATATAGATGTGAACTGAAATCACATGGTTGCATAATCACTTTTCCAGCATTATCTTTGGTGAAGGAAATCTGGAGTACTTGGGAAAATTGGGGGGGGGGAGGGTGTTATTTTCCATTTTTTTCTGACTTCTCTCCCATTATCATTTCTTATGTAGGATATTCTGAAAAAGGTCAATAATTATTTCAATTTACCACAACAGTGTCCTATTTTTACAGTGGGATAAGATTAGAAACTTGTATATAAGGATTTTTTTCCTACCTACCCCAACTAAATTGAAGACTGAGGGCTAAGTAACAGAATATAGTTTTCTATTCATTAAATGTTATAGCCTTAATGTCTTCTCTAACTCTACATGAAAATCCTGTAGTGTAGGTTAGTAGGGACTGAAGTAAGGACTGAAGCCTTATCTATAAGGGAACTGGAACCACTCATATATCTGTGGTTGAAGAAGATTTAAGAGGTTGTACTGATAGAACTGGAAGAGGATTGCGTATATCCATTAAATATATTACCCAGTTAAAACTTGTTTCTACAGTGGGGAGAAGAGCTCGTGATGAGAATTGAGAATAATAAACTATAATTTGAAATTTTATAGAGGCTAAATTGATGCCTACAATTATAACAATTATTGCCATTTTGCTTTCCAGTGTGTATGTACAGAGAGCCATCGCTACATGAAATTGGAGAAAAACAAGGGCGTTCGAGGAAAAGTTCTGGAACACCAACCATGAATGGAGGCAAAGTTGTGAATCAAGATTCAACATAGCTGAGAACTCTTCCCTTTATCCCTCTTTCATCCCTACCCTTTCCCCCACTCCTTTACCCATTTTCTTCCAATAAACCCACCCAAGGAGAGAAAAATAAAATGGTAACGCAGGACCTGGTGGCTCCCATAATCTTCCTTTGTGTAGGACAGGAAAATTGAACCAAAGCTTTCCTGTTGCAGTGTGGTAGAAAATACACATGCACAAAGATTAGCACACGTATAAGCAAGAGGAAAATAAATCAAGATTCCACAAACATTAAAGTAAATTGTGCATTTATTACTAGAGGGCTAATTGTAATGAAAACATAACTGTAATAAAGATGAAATAAAGTTATTACCTTAAAGAAAAGGGCTTTGTAGAACTGAACTTACAAATTGATGTAATATCCTAAATAGCTTAAGCTCTACGTAATGCTATGATGAGTGCTTTGTTTTAATTTTGTATTTTCTTTGGGTATCTGAAATTAACACATTATTGAGTCCTGTTTTCAGGATGTTTTTAAACCATGATACTGAACATTTACTTATAGATTTTTAATGCCTTGAAGAAATATAATAAGGAATCACTTCACATCAAGAAAAATTTAAAAATTTATTTTTGAAGTTATTATTTAAGACTGTTTTTAGACAAAGGATGGTCTTATGTTTAATCTAATGGTATTAACAAATTGAATTCCTTACTAAAAAGAGTTTCAGGTTCTCTTAAGAGAATGCCACATTTTTATCCAAGATATTAATCATTTTTTTTAGTAATTTAGATTTTTTTTTCTGAGAATGAATTCATTTTTTAGAATTATTTGTTATAATCATTCTTGGGCAATGATGTACAATTTACATGCTCTTACTGTTTGGTCAGATTTTTGATTTTGTGGACAACTTTGAGAGTATAGGTGCATGTCTAGTTGTCTTAGAGAGAATTTTTATCATCTGTTGCAACAGGAAAGAAGAAAGAGGAGTTTTACATAAGAAAATACATTTTAGAAAATTGGTCAAAGCAAATTATATCTGCCTTTGTAACTTACCAGAGTTTTATGTATACAGCATATTCCAAACTCTGCCATGATGTTGGGAGGCATGGCTGTGAAATTCCAAACTTACTATTTTATGAAGCAGATGGATACATATCCTTGTTTATAAGTCTAGGTGACAATAAGGGTACTTGTAATAGACTTTCAAGGGTATAGAGAAAAAATACATAATTGACAGCTATGGTTTCAACAGACAGGTTTGTATGAGAAGCTTAAAGTAGTAAAAATAAATAAATAAAACTCAGTGTAAGGCAAATGCATAGTTAGGAAAACTAAAGTATTAGAAAATATTAGGAAAGAAATTAACATTATTCAGTTGCCTTGGAAAAACTAGATCTACTTAGTCCTACAAATCAAGAATGGTATAGAGACATCCAAATTAAAATAAAACAAAACAGAATGTTTTAAAAATGTATGCTGATTTATGGATATTATTGAAGACTTAGCATGTTACTTCTCCTATAATTCTACTGTCCGGCATGTATTGCTCCAAATATTACTCCCTAAAATGTATACTCTTTGAAGACACTCAAGGTCACTACAGTTTCTCTCACTCAATACAATCATTATTTTCCAATAGTGATTCCTATACTTCACCAAGTATTCTATTAATGCTATCAGGAGATTAGCAGAAAACAAAAAGGAAGAGTTTGCCTAATCAATTGCAAAGAAAGAAAGTTAAGTATTTAGGCTAGGATTTTGAGCACAAATTTGCAAGAAATATTCATTTATCCAAAATATTTAGAAAGTAACAAATAAAGACATTAAAATTAAAGAAAAAAAGGGAAATGTTGAAAAAGAATGCCCTTGTTAAACACACACAGACACACACACACACACACACACACACACACACACACACACACAAAACAAAAACAAAAAAAAAAAAAAACACCTGATTGTATTTCTCCTTGTCACTCTTGATTCAACTTGATAATAAATGCACCTGTCACTTTCAGGACCAAACCAATCCCAAGCACAAAGCCTTATTTTCTTTAAAGACATAAAAAAGAGGCTTCTACAAAATGGGTCACAGGCTCATTTAACATGAAATTACCTGTGGGGTATGGCCACATGCATGTATACACTCACCACAAACTCATCAATAACACCATTTTCACAAAGTGCTATCAATTACTCAGAGGACTTCATGACAGAATACATTTAATCCAGTAAAATATTATGAAAAATATGAGAGCGATCTGAATCTCCAATAGAATTCCCTGTTTTCAGTGGCTGCTTGTTTGGCATCTAGAGTCATTTGTTTCCTTCCTGGCAGCAGTTAAGAAGCAGAGTTCTAACTCAACAACTTCTGTAAATTTTCCCCTCTCTATATCATTTAAGCAAATGTTCATCACAGTAAAATGTTTTGTATGTTAGCTTTGTCGTAGTTACAGTTACGTTCAGAGAATAAGTTAGAAAAATATTACATTATCACAAAAACCTGACTGTGTTTAAAGCACAGGTGAGCATTTGCTTAATTACTGCTTCTTTTGTGAGCACCGAAAACTAGTCATAGAAAACATCAATATTCACAGTCTAGGTTTTTTGTTGTTTTTTTAAATTAGCAAATGTAAAATAATTATATGGTTTTCTCCAAAAATATGAGCCAGTTTAAATAGTTTATTTTCAGATTTGTTCAAGTAAAAAAAAATATTTACTTTGATATATTCATTATCCCAATTTCTGGGTCTCAATTCATCCCTCAATTATTCTCCTATAAGTGAAGTAAGCTTTTTAAAAAATTAAATCTCAGGAGAAATATGACTTCTAACAAAGCTTTGTTATTGGCTCTGTACCTATATAGTAAGACATGTTTAGCCTGAGAGTCATTACAAAATGTTTTGAAATCACTGGGCTTAAGAATGAGAACAAAACTTTGGAGACTCTCACAAAATAGTTTTCTGGTCAATATACCCAACTTGCTTGTTAAGCTAGAAGTTTGAGGTCTTGAAACAAAAATGGTGCTTTAGTTCCATTTGCTAATTCAGAAAGTTTTGTGTCTCTGGAAACTGGAGGACAGCAAGCAAACCTATTCTTGATCGCAGTAATAGTTTGGTTTGAATTTTACATATGAATTTTATAGCACATTTTTAGCCACAAAGACTTGGCCCAATAAAGCGATGCCAATTGATGCACATTGTGACACTTTATGGACCTCCTTATAAACCAGATAGGTTTTTAGAAAACTGTGTTGAAGATAATGACAATACTATAGATAGGTATTATTTATAAATGGGTGATGTTGTGGTGCCTCTAGCAAGAGATGAGAGTATTAAGACAAAGTCAAAGGATCAAAATGGCTTAACATGTATTGAAAAGTTTGAAGGTCCTAATTTATGGTCCCTGATTTCTTGGTGAAGAAGCATGACTACATCAACAGTAATTTTTTTTAAACATAGATCCAGAAATAACAAATCTATTGCACCTTTATAGCTTAATGTACCAGGCCTTGCTCCAAGAAAGGTTTCCATGAAGTTGTTTCATTTCATCTGCACAAGGTGAAATACATTCAAGTATAAAAAAAATTCCCTGCTCATTGTAATATCATAAAAAGCTGAGATTGTAAATAGCGTTTTTTAAAAATCAGAATCACAATTAAAACAGTGGATTGTTCTACATATATATATGTGTATATATACAAATGCTTCTGAAATAAGAACTTACTATATAGAATTTTTATTTGATTTGTTGTATTTAGTTATAGGTGATCAAAAATAAAGAGATTTGAATGTAAAACTTTATATATAAATGTATATTTCTAATGATAGTATAAATTGCCACTTTATAATAAAAGAAGAAACAGGTGGGAAGAATAGGCAAAGCACATGCTCCTTCAGAACTTCATGATCTGAATCCCCTTTTTGATGCAGAGGCAATTATTTTTTTATTTCTAAAAAGTTATATTATAAACCTATACTTCCTGAAACAGATTCCATGATAAGTCATAGCAAATTGAAAATTTATGTTTAAGGGCTGGAGAAAGATGTTAAATGCTCATCTTTACTTTTCAGGATTTTTTTCCTGGAGTCCAAGTTAAATATTCAATATGTAAGATCTAAAATAAGTGAAAATTGTTAATGTTCAGAGATGGCATGTTGATTTTTGGTATCAAACAGAAGCAAAAAATATTTGACATTATACTATTAGCATAAAATAAGGCCATAAATTTCACCATTAGATGTTTTATTAGTTGGAAAGAATGAGTTGATGCTTCTTTGTCTTCGCTCCAAGCACAAACTAAAAAGACGGACATTCATTTCACTTAAAGTAGTTCAAAAGTCCAAACTACACTCCCATGAGTAGAATCAACATTAGCTCCATTACAAGGTTCAATGTTGCAGTTTTAAGAAATTATTGACACTGAAATGTTTAATAAACATGTTATATGAGAAACTGAACAAATTCATGTTTTGTTTTTGCATTAAAGCACATATTATTCAAATTATGGCTTTTAGAGATCAGATTTGTAAAATGTTTATACATCCCAACATTCCTGAAGTTAAAAGGAATTATAATCTTGAGATGCTCATGCATGTACACAAAATACTTGCACTTTTTTTTTACATTAAATTTCTTTGGGAAGTGTCTCTCTCTCTCTTTTTTTTTTAAAATGTGTTTATCATACAATGTCACCGACAAAGTCCTGTGCCTTATTAAAAAAATAAAAAATGCCTTTATAGGTGGGGAATAAGTTAAAAAATTTGAATACTGCTGTCAAAAGTAAAAATTATTTTGTAAATATGAAGTTACTATGGTAAATCTAATACTTCTCTTTTTTAAGATTAAAACATAGAGCACATTCATTTATTCATAATTTACTATATACTCAGTTGAGTTTAGGGATCATACACTAAATTATAATCTCCCCAAATCCCAAAAAGGCAGAAATATAAATAAATAATGTAATGCTAAAAAGAGTTACAATCAGTATATTACTAAGATTTTGTTGTTGTTGTTAATCCTCACTCA